GTCGTTCGTTCGTTACGTACGTACGAGGACGAGCGTTTAGTTACCGTAACCCAACCTAAGTCGTATATATATATATATATATATACACACACACACACACACACACACACACACACACACACACACACACACACACACACACACACACACATTTCTTTAGTATTCTTACGATTCTCCAGATAGTGTACACTTTGAACTTGCAAGTAGGTCTGTCACTTAATTGGTTCTCGGAACTAAAACCAAAACTAACTCAACAATTGGTTATGATCGAAGGTGGTAATTCAGTTTCCTGAATGCAATCATTTGAACAGTGCAACTTTTTAAATATGCCCAGTACATACCAAAACTAACTGTTGTGAAAGTGCTGAAGATGAACGTTTCTCATTGTGCTATAAAAGATACTTAATTACACTGTTGTAACTGTTCTAAATCATACACGAAAGTTTAAGTAACAGAACTAGATTATTCAACTTGTTGGAAGCATAACTGAAAGTGCTGAAGATGAACGTTTCTCATTGTGCTATAAAAGATACTTAATTACACTGTTGTAACTGTTCTAAATCATACACGAAAGTCTAAGTAACAGAACTAGATTATTCAACTTGTTGGAAGCATAACGTGTGAAGACTTAATTTTTGTTATTTACAAATTCTCTGGTTAAAAGTATTTTAGCTGCCTTGCGAGATATTAAAATAGCTCTCTTAAATTTACCATCAGCTTCATCATAAATTTCTATTTCAACAAGACAGGAACTTCAAAGTTCAGTAATAGTGGTACAGATGAGTATTTTATTATGTTCTAAAATGGCTTTACCATCATTTGGAGAACACTTTAACCAATTGTGGGTTTTGTGATAGTATGGAACCATGAGATTGAGTACGATTGATGATAGAGGAAGTAGTTTTTAATGATAACATGGAACCTGAACATTAACTCTCATTAAATGTTTTGAAATTATGAAATTTTATTTTTATTCCATTTATAATTATTATTTTACTGCAGAGCTAATGATATCCAACACAGTAAAGTTAAGAATAAGTAATTAGAGAAAAATAATACAAATTAAAAGGTTTAAATGTATCTTAACAAATTTGAAACTATGCTTTTGTGTTTTAGATATGATAATGAAATTTTATAATGGTATAAGACAACCTTTTAAATTGGTAGATGTGTGCCATTATATAATTTTTCTTAATATCTGAATCCTGTTGTGTTGATCTTGTTTAGCAATGCTGGGGTGGGAAATCCAGAAAAATGGTATACATTTACAAATTATTGGCCTTTGATGTCTTGTACATGATGTTTGTTTCTTGTGAAAGAACTTAGACATTAAATAAGGCAGTATACTGTACAAGTCATTTTCATGACAAAGCCAACCATTTCTTTTAAAATGTAAACATTTCGAAGACTCTAAAACTTAGGTACCCATTAACTTTTTGGCATCATAGTTGGGATCTTCATTGCAAACTGTACTGATTATGGTGCTTATGACATAGTAATAGATTTACTAATATTGTGAAACATAAGAAAAGTAGAGATCTCTAATAATACAATGGCTAGTTAACAAAGGAAATTATTAAAATTACTGAGCAATATAAGAACTTGTGAGTTTGTATTACAATAAACATCTACAAATGTATCACTCTTAAACCCAACTAATATTTCCTTTTTGTTCAGATTCAAGTATCCTCAGGAACTGGTCACCAAGTTAAGTTTAGCAAATTATTGTTAATTAAATGTCAGCAAGAGTTTGAAAAAGATGTTGATGATTATGTCAATAAGAATGAATACATGAAGAAGATGAAGGAAGCAGAAACGGTGAGGAGTTCACTATTTTTTTATTTAATTTGTATACTTTGTGTACAGAATTTTTCTGTTACTTAACACTTTTAAATATAATGTACGTTTTTTTTTACAATGTTAAGTATGAGAAATCTGTTAGTATTTAACAGAAATTGCTAAAAGAGCAACTTAATGTTTTTTAATATATTTTCTGTAATTGTAGGTAAGTTACGGTAACTCTAAGCTCCTGCTGGTGTGGTATTATGGTGCAGAATACCAAGGAATTTTTTAAAGATACTGTTACATTTGTGTGTTTGTGTGTAATTTGATCATTTTGCCTAAAGTGTTCAGTGTTTACACCTCATTTGAAGTTCAGTGAAATCAGGAGTGTGTGACTTGCTCATCTGTTTTGTCTGAAATTGAGTGTTTATTTCCAATTTACAATATAGCTGCCATTTCTATAAAATCAGGAATATGTAACTTGCTCATATTTTATTGACAAAAGTTCATTGCTCTTAGAATATTATCAGTTCTTTTATACCACTACTGTATAACTAGGTGTCTGCAAGTACAGTATTCCCGTCACTCGTATTGTATTTTGCATAGTACTCATTGATGACATGTTTGATTCTTTATTTTGATCACCAAAATCACTGCTGCCAAAAGTTATTGCATTGCACAAAAACAACTGAACCTAAAAAGTATGTATGATATTAGTTGGCCTTATGTAGGGGTTGTGTTTCATGATGAAATAAGTTGTAATGTTACACCTGCAAAACAAAGTTATCACTTTATGCCAGTAAGAAACATATCAAATTAAGAAAATTTCAGTATTTATTTTTATAAATAAACCCTCTATTGATGGTCATAAGTTATTATATATTTTTAGAGAAGTTATGTTTTTAAATATATTCCTTAGTTATATGGACTTGTGGTATGTTTGGATATGTGTAAAGATTTTTTTGCATATGCAGAATTTTGTTTTCCACTACTTTTGTTCAAGTTTTGATGTTATCAGACACTTCACAGATGTATAATAATGGCTGGAGACGGTTTGAATGGGTAATGAAGCACAATTTTAATATAAGTGTTACATAACAGCAAGTGTACAATATTTCAACAAGGTTTTTGTCATCATCAGGTAGAAGTAGTTTACGCTGACACGGATATATACACACCTATATATAC